GTAAAAAGCTATGAAAAGTTGTAGAAATAGACAAATTAATGATATAGGAAACATTTTTATAATAGAAATATCACAGCTACACATAGAAATATGCTTCAAGGAATACAGTTAACTGACTGTCTGCAGAGATCTGTTACTTCCACTAGATGGTGGCCTCCACTTACAAATCTGACCTCCACCGACCCTTCATGCCTGAAAAAGGCAGCTATTTAAAATATTAGACTTATTATTTTTCTTACATCATCCATGTAGAAGCATGCGGATATATTTTACTGATTAGAGGAGCAGTTTACAGCAACATTTGGTGCTTTGTTTTTAGGGATTGAATTAGACATAATTCAAGCATCTTTTTCTCATTTAGCATAATTTACCTGCAATGTTATTACGGTTTTACATTTCAGTTAAATCACAATTCAATGACAGACGGAGAGATTGGTGTTTCCATAAGAATAGATTTACATATCAATGCCTTTGGAAGGGACACAATAAAACAACAACATTACAAGCTGGCATGTTTTTGTGCACGTGACATGCTGTAGATGCTGTCTGAATCCAAGAAGAGGAAACAGCACACACTGGGCTACAGGGACCGGTGGAGGTGGGTGTAGGACTAGGACTCGGCGACCCTGGGTAAGGTGTTCCCACAGCTCTGCTGCTCCTCTGCTCTCTGGCTAGAATCAAGTCAATGTGTCACAGCAGGATCAATTTTTAAAGCACAGTAGGCTCTTTAATGGCACTTTTACAGATGGCCAAAATCTAAATCATTGTTACGTGTCTGCAGGCTGCATGTTTTCTTTCCCTCTCCTTTTGTTTGCCATTTCCTCAGGTACACAGACTGCAGGCTGGTGTCAATTTGGGGATCTCCAGCTAATTAGAGGAAGGAGGCTTTGATTGGTCAAACCAGGAGTGCACACCTTAATAAGCATAATAAGGAGACTCACCTGTGGCTGGGGGCACTCACAGCTTCTCCTTAGACTGGCTGACTGTGTCGTTAAAGGGGGAAGAGCGTCCAGGTGACAGCTGCTTGTTCACTCTAGTAACGCGTCCACTGACAGACTCACAAACAGAGCTCACCTGCACTGACAGTGACCGCCTCCACAAACTGTTCCCTCCAGGAGTGTGTGCCGATAACCAGCGCCAAGTTGGTCTTCTTAATGAGCTTGTCAACAGTGCTCTGCCAATCACAAGCACAACACACTTCATTAGCAAGCAATTAAATCCAAGGATAGGTGACAAGAGTCACTCAGGTGAGACAGAGCTTGTTAGTCATGCTTTGTGCAGCTGAAGGGAAGATGAACTATTTAGGGGGCCTTCAAAACCTCACACATATGAGTTTACCTGTCAGGAGGACGGTTTTGGCTTAAAAGTGCAGCCGGCAGGTGGGACGGCTCTAATAAAAGATGCTCCTGCGCTGCGTTACAGGAAGTGTTAGGAGGAAGACTATTTCTGGGCATTTGATTCAGTTTTGACAGTTACAGTGTATGAAAAAAGGATTTGCCCGCTCGTTTATATTTCAGCTCATTTCATTTCTTTATTTATTTCACACATGGTTCAACAGTGTTTCTTTTCCTACATACAGAACCTCCTTCCCATTAATATGACACTGCACCCATGGGTGAAAAGGAGCAGGAAGAAGAA